AAAAAGCAGAAATTCTTAAGAGTGGAATGTGTTTTCTGCTTGTACTGTAATTATTTCTTGCTGTTCAGCAAAACTAAACTTCTGTCTCGGAAACAGAAAACAGAAGGACGATAACGTATGTAGCGAAAGGATGAGCATCAAACATGCTTGTTTTTGACGATAGAGTACCACTTATTTATATTTGATCTTTGAGGAATACAACACCGAATTTATAAACTAAGGTCAGGTTAAAGTGTTGTCAAAGCTACTAAGCGATTCAGCGAACAAAAGCAAAAGATGAAGTTATACTGTTCTAATAAATGGCATCCTTCTATAATATCGCATACACAGCAGCTTAGAACAAGGCTTATCAAAAGTAAAACAGCAACTATTAGACGAACAGTTATAATCCGAAATCACCATATTTTTATCATATTTTTATCTCTATGCAACTACCGTCTTTCCATAGAAGTCGAAAATGAGTAAAAATACGCTGTACCGAAATATCACCAAAAAAGAATTTACTTTTCTCTTACTATTATAGTTCTCCATGTCATATACTATAAAAAAATCGCACTAACAAAATTTTTTGCTTTATATCTATATGTCTAATCATTTAAGAAATTTTGAATCATATTGATTGCTGACCTAGTCTGATCTGTCAAACACCTTTGGTCGGTTCTACAAGAATTGCTAACAGATGTTCCTGCGCTTTGATCTTTTTTTGGCTGTTTTATCAAGTGCGATTTCTAAAATTCGATTTGCTCGATAAAACTCATGCTGCGATTTACTCGATGTGATTGATCTGCTAAATTTTGCTTTTCACATTTGAGCTTCAAAATGTGACAAATTTAAAAGTATGAATTGAAAAGCGATACTCTGTAGAATAAAAAAAAGTGCATTTATAAACATTTGTAAATTGTTTGCACTTTTATACAGTTATTAATAGTAATGTAAAATAGCAAAATTTTTTGCATTGTCCGATTTATTTTGTTATTACTATATGACGTATGTAATTTTTTTAAGTCGTTGATAGAACAATTACAGTTTTTTTATATTAATTTTGTCGTTTTACGGTAAAAAAGCTTGAATTATTAAACAAATTTTTTGGAAGTATATCTGTTTTAATTGTTTTAGTCTACTTTGTATGACGAAAAAAGTGCTGCAAGTGAACAACAAACCTTTTTCAACGCAAAAATTTGACTGCGAAAAGATATTTGAGGGGATATTTGTAAACCAATGTACATTTAAAAGCGATTTGTTGTAACACGAAGGAAACTTTTTGACTTATCTTGAACATTTTTCAGAGTAAAACGTTTGTTAAATCGATAAACTTTCGTTCTGCAACTTTCATTCTTTTTGTTTATGTTTGAAGCTGCGTTAGATAGTCACATTTTTCAGAGCACTATTTCGTCTCGGTAGACGAAAGCAGAGGGTCGCTGTTTTATCGACCAAAAACGATGATTTATTTCTGTACGTTACTGGCTCTACTTTGCCTTAATTATGAAGTGATATTAGCCGACAGTGAAACGCTCAAGGCGCTATGGAATCTTGAAGAAATGGCCATTTGTCGTTTGCACTACAATGCTCTTGTATATAACAACTATGGTTGTTGGTGCGGCGTTGGAGGTAGTGGAGAACCAGTTGATGGCATAGACAGGTTCGTTTTAACCGTTCCGAACTTATTTAACTTTACAAAAAAATTTTGGTAATTTGAGTGTCTGAAGAAGTTAAGAAGAAGCAAACAATTAAAGTTTTATTTAAATGAGTCTGACAGTTTTTTTGTGACCAGATGCTGTATGCACCACGATGAATGTTATGATATGGCAGTTAATAAGAAATTATGCCGCAACGTTCCATTTGAATATATACGCGATTATTCGTGGCAATGCGTTAATGGCGAACCCGTTTGTAAAGGTTTGGCTTTATGAGTAATCATTTATGTGTTTTAAACAATTTTTCTTTTACATTTTTTGTAATACTGCATCCTGAACTCAATTGCAGAGAATATGAATGAATGTCAAGCAGCTTTATGTAAATGCGACAAGACTGTGGTTGACTGTTGGGGTCAGTTTCCTAAACCAGCAATAAAGTCTTCGTGTGAAAAGCGGCGAAAAAATAAGACGTTTAAGGGAATAAAAAGTGTATCAACTTTATAATATCGTTTCGTCTTCAAATCTTATCTGAACTTTATCAGCTACGTCTCTCCTAATTGTTAAGAGAAGAAAATAGTCTTTTCTGACTACACTTTTTCTATTCTGTTATCCTTTATCAAACAGTGTTGACCATCTGATATGTAAAATTTTCTTAACAATATAACCATATTTGTTGTAATTATGTGGTTACTTGTAAAAATAACCGTTATTGTATAGTGCAAAAATTTTGTGACAATTTTAATAAACAGTCTTCAATTTTTTATTCTCGTACAAACTATCATAGATAGACGTGAGCATTGTTGTCTTTGATTTTAGAAGAGGCTTTCTAATGAATGATAAATGTCCAAAACCCAGAGAGTATTAATAAGTGCAAAAGCTTTTTTTTCTTTACGTGAATTCATTTGGTTATGTGAAAGCAAAAGTTTTTCTTTTAGTATACACTATAAATCAAGATCGATTTAATGCTTTACATGATTAAAATATTATACAACAATCATAAAGAAATCAGTAGAGTTTTAATGTAATAATAAAAAATATTTCAGCAGGCACATCGTAGTCAGTTTTGTATGATTTAGGTTAACAGTTTAGCTAATGACAGATAATATGATTAAAAACCGAAGAAGAAAGGCATGAATGCTGCAATCTCAAACAGCTGCTGAAGTAGCTCTATGAAAGAAACATAGAAATGCTTTGTAACTTTGAATAATTATTTG